ACCATACCTGCTTTTGGGTTAGTTGTCTCTATAGACATTTTCTCTTTGGGGATCAAAGTGTAGGCCTCACCGTATCCCCATTCTAGAACCAAGGGAACTCATTTTATGCCTGCGTTAGGGCTGGGACTCTTCTCTCCTTCTGCTCTGTTGTAGCATCTTTGGCTCTCAACTGTTACAGGAAGTCTTTGCCTGAGTGCTGTGTCAGCTTAACTATTGCATTTCTTCAACCTATTTTCTTAGAATTGACTTGCTTTCGTGCATCTCGTCACATTTAACTGGATGTGTGCCCCACCTCTCCACCCACCATGGCAATAACTTCCATGAACTTTTTGTCTTGTTTAAGAGGATATATTCTAGCCGTAATGAGACCTTGCTAATACCCTCACCAACAAGATATATGATTTCTGTGTTGATAGTATCCGTTCCTCGTGATCACTTCACTCCCTTCCCGTTTAGAAATGAAGAGGGACAGTTGTGTGGGAGATAGGACATTGGGAAGAATATTCTATAGCTAAGGCAAAGGGCTCTTCCAGAAATGATGGCTTTTTGCTGCTCAGTTCATCATTGCTTTCATGTTGTAGTATCATTTAACAGTCCAAGCCTCCTTTCTCCTTCAGACATTCAAGAATAGTTATCTTCTAGGGTGAGGTATTCAGTTTATATCCCATAAGAAGACCCCAAGACCCAAGAATTGCTTGCCATGGATACTTTTTTTTAATTGGGAAAAGTAGTTCTAAATAGCCCTAGTGGAGATCGGATTGAAGGTTATGGTGGCCTGGCCTGACTTACCCTTCAAACATTGATATATGCAATTCTTAATCTCTGGTTGTGTGCCAGGTACTACCCCATCTCCCTCCACACTGTTCTGAAGTAGCATGGCCATTTTATCTTTCTTGAAAGAGAACGGATACATCCATTATGAGAAACAATTCATTTATTTGAATCTGCATGCAATTAAAAACTAAATTAAGCAGGTCCAGAAAACCTCCCAATTTAACAAGCCTGCTTATGGAAGTCGTCACTCAGATCTCCACTGAGGCTTGGGAGAGGCAGGGAGTGCACAACTATGGAGGAAGGTGTGGAGAGGAAGATCTGTAATTCTCCTCACTTCCATCTGTCAAGAGTCTTCCCAGCAAGACCAGTAGGAACAGATTCTGTGCTCTAAGGGAGTCTCCTGTGATACAGACTCTCATGATGATGCAACTTCTGAGACCTGTGTGGTGGTTGGGAAAAGGCTGTGTCCATAGTTCCAGTAAGTCCCAGTCTATCTCACTAACCAGGTCTAAATTCCACATGTTGCATTAAGGAACATGCAGCCACACACATCATGATATACACTGTTCTTTCCATGTCTCAAGAAGAAAAGTTTAACAGAAAAACCTAGGCTGACTTCTCGAGGAATTGAATGGGGTTGAGTAGCAGGAACCATTTCCATGTGTATCCACATGGGATTAATTCTAGTCTCTTCCCACCCCAGGTATCAAAATCTTTGCACTCCTAAGTCCTTTATGTAAAACTACACCATTGAGTATAACCTATGCACACCCTCCCTGAAACTTTAAATTATCTTTAGCTTACTCATAAGTCCACACACAATGTAAATGCTATGCAAATAGTTGTTAGACTGTATTGCTCAGGGAATAATAACAAGGAGAAATGTCTGTATGCTAAGTGCAAGTACAAATATTTTTCGGAGTATTTAAAATTTGAGGTTGGCTAGATCCACAGACAGAGAACCCACAGATATGTACACTTACCCCATTCCTAAAAGAGTTGAGTAGCTTGAGTGAATGAAGCCTAAGGAAGAAAACTCACCCTTGAGGGAAGTTGTTGCATGCTTGGATATGGCCAGGTGAACCCAAAGAGCATAGGAAAATATAGGAGATCGGCAATATGGTAAGTCTTTTTAATTAGGACAAATAAAATTCAGCGCGTAGAAGTTGTTAAAAATCTGGCTGAGTTAGGAGGTGGCATTGCAGTAGGACAAGCCAGAGGAGATGAGAGCCAATAAACAGGTAAGAGGGTTTACAAAGGCAGGCCCTATGCAGGCCTGTAAACAGGAACTCAGCTAATTTACAACAAAGGGGAGAGGTTGGCATTTGATGATTTGTATCCTGAGTCACATCTAAAGGTACTTACTTGCTTGATTCTGTATATTCCACATACATGGCGATTCCTTATTTGTATTGGTTAACTGCGTTGATTTGGCTCAGGAGAGAAATAATTCCTAGTGATAGACTCTGCTCTTTGTTTCCTTCTGTTTACGTATCTGTGCTTTTTCCAAATTATTTTTAAATAATTTGCTAAGTTGTAATGGGATGCTTGGATCATGTTGCCATATTTACTTAAGAACTATCACTTTACAGTGAAGACACAGAATCTGAAAAGACCCAATATGTGGTCGCCTATAGTCTGACACCTATGTATGAGTGGTTCTCGACATGCCATTGACCCTCTCCCAGGGGTTGGCCAAGATCATCCAAAAACGCAGATATTTACGTTACAACTCATAACAGTAGAAAATTGCAGTTATAAAGTAGCAGTGAAAATAGCATTATGGCTGGGGATCCCCACAACATGAGGAACTGCATTAAAGGGTCACAGCACTAGGAAGCTTGAGAACCACTGCTATAGACTGTTGCTCGCCAACCAAATCTGCTACTTCATTCCTGATTTCATCAGTAGTATGCCGTCCTCTGTGCAATCATGTGTTTCAAGAGAAGCCAAGCTCATCAATCACAGTCATATTTACCTTGTCAATCACTGGCTGTGCTATATAAGGCAAGTGACAGCCTGGGACACAGTCTTGGATAATGGGCTGATAGAAATGAAGCGAGAGAGTTTTCTTTAAAAGGTACAGAAGAAACAGATTGCCTTGTTCGGAATATGTGACCACACAGCTGAGTTTGAGGATGGGTCAACAACTCAGAAGATTGACCCCCCAGTCTCTTCCTGACACTGTTGAGTCATTCAATCATGAAACCTTGAATCCCTTGAAAAAGCTTGTCATCAGGATAAACTTGCCCCATTGGAACTGTTGTTACTGGGAATATTTTACAGTTCTACGTATCCATGTATTGTTTCTCTAATTCAGTTGACACTGTAGTAGGATCCTCATAGCCAATCTTATCTCTTTTTAAAGTAGGTTTTAGAGATGCATCTGCAGCCACTGCATGTGTCCATGACACCATCCAGGAAAGCTGTCAGGGGCCACAAACCTGGAGGTTAGCCAGGAAGAAGCATGCTCTGCTAGGGTGGCTAATAAATGAGCCCTGACAATGGTTGGTTCCCTTCTACATCAGCAGCCAGGCTCTGTCCTCCTTTGCTACTACTTCTAGTCAGAGTAGTGCTGCAGTGACAGCATCTTTTATTGCAAAGGGCGACAATTGATATCTCTTATTTTATCAGGCTATCTATCAGCAGCAGCTAGGCAACTCTACAAATCAAATCCATAGTGACTCAATCCCCAGCAGAGATGCATCTGATAACTGAAAGCATCCCCTGACTGCATCCTGGATGAGGACCACAAATTCACTGAGGGGGTATTCTGCTCCCCTGGCTTTAGTGTGGGGAAGGAGTATGTTCCTCTTCAACGCATCACATGGTCACAGTGTTCACTGGTCACAAACACAGACCCAGTAGTAATCAGGACACAGATGGTTTATAAGGCCTTTTGGTTAAAAATATTCTATCCACTGGTGTGTCTGCACTACATTCAGGAAGACCATGATGCAGAGAGTGATGGGGTGTCCAAAGAGTGTTGGAGACTTCTGGAGTCAGGAATAGTACCAAGAAGGGAAGGATCCTACAAAACTGGGAACATAGAGTTCAGAATGATGAGGATGTTGAAGGAGGGATTTTGAGATTCTGGCTTAAGAATAAGTAGGGAAGTTTGTTGCATCTGTGTTTTCAGACAGCTCACACCTCCCAATACTCAAAGTCATGGGCTTGGTCAGTGTAATCCTGAACATGTGGTAGATAACTATGGCTACAGGTTTGAGTCCTTGTTCAGTGACATCACCTAACTATTTTATGTAGATGACCTTATGTTCCTCAGGACAGCCAGCGAAGGAGATACTGTTTTTGTTGCTAGTGAGGAAACAGATTAAGAGTGGTTGAGTGAGTTTTACAAGGTCTCCTACTTAGATCCTGGGCTAGAACTCAGGTATTCTCTTTCCAAGCAATAAGCTCCCAGCTGGTCTAGAGATACAGTCTCATAGGTGAGCACTTAGCTGGGTATGAGGATAGCTTGCCTACATATAACGGGAGCTAGGGGATGGAGTTACACCTCTCACCAGCAGTCAGAGACAGGAGGCCCGTTTTGGAATTCTCTTGTGGAGCTGTTTATTACCTCGTGGGCATTTTGCTGAAGGTGCAATTTGCAGAGCTGTTAATGGCAATGAAGTTCCAGCGGGTGTCAAGAGACATGGGGAAAGTGGAGAATGGCGCAGAGGCTGCCGCTATTTCAGCTGCCCTTTGCGAGGACTAATGAAGCCTGTGCACTCCCTGCTCCTGACAGCTCCAGGAAATGTCAGGTGCCACCTAGAAGACCTTGTGAGCTTGCCAGCCTTCCTTTGTGTGCCAACACCAGTCACTGGGGGAGAAATTGCCATCACATGATGCTGTCCCTTTGCCTCCCATGCTCAGAGTTCTGCAGGATAGTCAGAAACAACTTTGGATTCAATTGCTGGACCTCTAACATTGCGCGTTAATGGTGTTACTTTGTACAATAAACGTTGGGAATAGCTGGACTCTATAATGAGGAATAACTCGATTCTAGTAATTTAATCTCCATTAAACTCGTCACAAGCTATTTATTGATGTTTTTAAGAGGAGCAATGTGAAAGAACACGCCCCTCCCATCACACAACCTCCCGTGTCCTCTTTCATGGTGTAGGCTTTGAGCAGAGATGGGGCTCAGCGACGTGGAGTTCTACACAGAGAAGCTGATAAAAGCAAGGGCGGAGAGTGACACCGATGACCCTGGTTTCTAACGGAGCTGTGGGGCACAGTGTGCTCTGTCCTTTTTGCAGTCTTGGAACCCTCCTGTGAACAGCTGATGTTCACACAGGCAGACATTCTTCTGTGTGAGGTCAGGACTGAACATCAGCTCTGCCTGGCAGGATGGTGAGCATACAGGTAGGTCAATCAGGGAAGAAGAGGGACAACAGGGACAGCAGCCAGGACAGTAGGGAAGGGAGCAGAGAACCCCTAAAAGGACCACCTGAAGGAGTGGACTCAGGGAGAGGAGTATGATTCTCGCAGCAAGTGCTAAAGGGCTTCAGGGAGAGGGGTTGCATGGCTCAGAGCTGGTTCCAATCTCTGCAAGGTGCTTGCTGTGTGTAGGACCTTGGGCAGGGTAATGAGCTGATTGAAGTCTGCATTTTCTCATCAATGAAATGAAGATAACGATGCTCATTTTACATAATGTGTGACAGAACATGTTTCAGGGGCTAGTCATGTGAGAGAAACTCACAGAATGTGAGCTCCACTCTAAGTTCTAGAAGCGACTGACTGAGAAGAAATAGTGTGGCTGAAAAATGCACAGAATTTCTGCCTGGGTGAGCCTGTATGTGAAGCAAAGGTTTTTAACATGGGTATGCTATTCTCCAAGCCTCTTTCTCAAATAGGACTACTTTTTCACATTAGTATTTGTATAAAATGTTGGTTATTGATGAATGTGTATTGGGGCACATTGCATTGAAGCTATATGAGAAAATAAAGAATATCTAGAAATGTCCAGCTGGAGAAACAAACCCTGGGAAGCAAATGCTAAATTTATCACACACGACAGTGGAGAGCATCAGGAGCTCTCTGTGTCTCTGAGGTAACACATAGTGGCTCAAGGCACTTAGTGAATTTGTGAATCAGCCAAAAGCCCAAGACCAGTGCTTCTTGGTTGTGTCCCCAAAGCAGCTGAGTTGGTCCTGGTGGGCCTGTGTTCTCAGGAGAATGACTGGATGCAGAAGGACTTACACTTAAGAGGGGGCAATGACCTATGCAGGTCCAATGTCACTGAGTTCAAGATTCTTCCAGAAGTGGGGCGGGGGAAGCTGAGGACCCCAAATGCTAGTCTTGAGAGGGGCCTGACATTCAGAACGAGTCACAAGGACATTCTTAGCTGAAAGTTAGGATTTGAAAAGCAGCTCCAGGCTAAGGCTGCAGGGGACCAGCTGGTGTCTCATAAGGAGCTCTTGAGAGGCTTTTAACAGTGTGCCTTAGGGTCTCTGAGGAGTGAACAGGGGTGGGGTGGGAGGGAGGTGGGGGAGCAGGAGGGGAGGGAGTGGGAACTGGGACTGGTGTGTAAAATGAGAAAAGATTGTTTTAAAATAAAAAAAAGATTTAAGACGTGTCTAGATACAGTGGAGCCTACATTTATTAGTGATATTTGGAATAGATGGGCTCCCAGAAAGTACCTGCTGAGTGCTAACTGTATGTAGGGGTTCAGTCAGGGATACTAGTACAGTGACCTTGATGCCAAAATGCTATTGGAACACACTGGGAGGACACAAACCTCTACTGAGTGTCCCTTCTAAGACGTGTGACGTCAGGAGAAAGCAGAGATGGAGAAAAAGCCCGTGTCTTTCCTCAGCTCACCAGTTAATCCGTGTGGACCTTGGATTCCAGCTTGTGTCCTATTGGTGTGAAATAACTGAATATTATCTGGTAACATGTCCTGGTAGATGGTGACTATGGGGCTGGGAGGGGTGGTGAGTGAGTTATCATTTCAGGACTATCCTTTGAGGGACATCACAGCCCCAAAGATGAAGGTATTAATTATGCTATTCCACAAAGACTAGCTGGTCGGAGACTAACTAACTCCAGGCCCATGACTGTTCCTGGCCTCTGTGATCACCTGAATGAAGGCTCGCTCTGTGCTACCTGGGTCGCTGTTGTGAATTTCCATCCAGTGCTTGGTATCTGGAGTTTTTTCTGTGGCCCTCTCCAGAAAGACTTAGTAGCAGGGCTTTCTGTCCTGGAATAATGCTCAGGATAAGGATCTGCTGGGGTTACATTCCCTACAGCAAAGCTAGTGGTGAGTGGGCCCTTCCCTGCTTTCTCTGTCTCCCAGTCAGCCAATGGGATTGTCAGGGCTCTATTTTCCTTTCCTTATAGCAGGGTGACACAGGGGACTGGTAACCTTGTGGAGAGGGGGAAGCTCCCGGGGCACAGAGAAGAATGACCTTCCTTCTTCCAGAAGACCAGTTTTCTGGCTGTCCCAGCTGCATCTGCTCCAGGCCGCCACAATGCTGTGTCAGCTGAGACCCACAGATGACAAGCCACTTTGGTCTTGTCCTCTCTTCCCAGCCTTTCTCTGGTCTGGGCCGGCTGCCTGTGTCCAGAGTCTTAGGGCTCTCCTCTTGTTCCAGTCCATCATGCTGTTCTTCACAGGCTGTCCTCACAGCTCCCTACACAGCAAATGCCAATTCTGTCCTGCTGCTCGGGTCATATTCACTGCAGCTGCTCCTGGCCCCTCCCAGACTCTTGTTCTCTCCTCCCCCCACACCATCATTTTCAACATGCTCCTCGGGTCAGTTCCCATCCCCTCCCAGATAAGTCCTCCACTGTGTTTTGCATAGCCAGAGAACCATTTGAAAGCATTGCAGGCTACAAAGAGCCACCAGCACAAAACCAAGTTACCAATGTGGAGAAAGAACCCTTAGCTACTGCCTATGGGAATATAAACTGGTTCAGCCACCAGGGAAATCAGTGTGGAGGCTTCTCAAAAATGAAAAACGGAAGCCGGGTGTTGGTGGCACATGCCTTCAATCCCAGCACTCGGGAGGCAGAGGCAGGTGGATCTCTGTGAGTTCCAGGCCAGCCTGGTCTACAGAGCCAATTCCAGGACAGTCTCCAAAGCAATACAGAGAAACCCTGTCTCTCAAAACTAAAAAAACAAAAACAAAAAAATGAAAACAAAACAAAAAACAAACAAACAAAAACAACCAACCAAACAAACAAACAAACAAAACGAAAAACGGAACTACTATATGATCCCTGTCCAGTCATACTCCTTCTACTATACAGCTCTAGGGATATCAGGACACAGCCACAGGATGGATGGATAAAGAAAGCATGGCATATATGCACAATGGGGTGTTATTCAGTCATAAAGAACAACAAATCCTGTCTATTTGAGAGAAACAGATGGAATTCAAATCATCATGTTAAATGAAATAAGCTATACTCAGAAAGACAAATATCAAATATCTCCTTTGTATGTAGAATCAAGGAACTCTTAAAGGAAAGGAATTATGGGTAGAGAGAAGGGTAAAGAAAGGTAATGAAGGTTATGTGGATATGAATAAAATATATTCATGTATGAAAATGTATTGTGGAACCTCATTATTGTGTATAATTAGTACGCATGAATATTGCCTTTTAAAATGCCTCAGGTGAGCTTTCTGTGTTCATAACTCTTGGCAATTTCCCTGTCACTTTGAGCTAAAATCTAATGGTGACTTTCACAGACTCAGGTCTCCTGACCCCTGCGACTTCACTATTCTAGTCTACTACCTGGCTTTTATTCTTCTTGAGCCTGCTTGCCGTGTCACTGTCCTAAGGTTTTTGTACTTGCTGCTGTTTCTGGCTGGAACTCACTTCCTCTGTCTGCCTCACTCCCCTTAGCTCCATAGCAGTCAGAACAGGCTGAGACAGCACACAGTCAAAATAAGCCCCCATGCCTCCCATACAGGATGTGACATTCTCAGGCCAACTAGTCTGTCTGCTCAAGGAAGCCCACACCCTGCAGCCAGCCTAGAGGAGACACCTAAAGGCTGCCTACGAGTGAAGGTGTGCATTTCGTTCACACTTCACTGACCATGTCACCCGTGCTTCCTCTCACCTCATTTGGGCACAGGAGCCTACCCACTACTATTAGCCAAGAAGGAGCCTGAGCTGGGGCTCCCTCAAGTCCTTGATGGATTTTCTCTCCCCTCAGCACTATGTGGTAGTTTTGGGAGCACAGCAATCCCCCCCCCCACACACACCTGGTATCTTAGGAACCCCTACTTATGAGACAGAACAAGTTCTGTTTTCACAACCCTTCAGCCCCATTAAGGATAATTCCACAGGGCAAAGCAGTACCTTCTGATACCCCACCGATAAGTTTAGCAACATGTCCTCCAAAGACTTTCTTAATGACCCGAGGACTACAGTGACACCTTCCCCAACAACGGCAGGTCATACAGCAAGCCCTTCCCATGGCCTGTGCCATGGAGATGCCCCACCCCTAATTCTAGCTCCTTCCTTCTTCCACTTTCCCACTTGAGCCCTTCCCCAGCTGACTCACAGCTCTCTGAAATATATTGACTTATACATGATCCTCCTCAGCTTCTGCTGCTGGGGCAGCGCTCAATTGACGGGACGTCTAGAATAACAAACCTCAATCTCTCTTTGTTCTGGAGGTTGGAAGGCCAAGGTCAGGGGATGGCAGACTTGGAGTCTGGTAAGAGCCACTTTCTGCTTTGCAGACAACACTTGCCACTGTTCCCAGGAGGAATGCTGTTTCCTCTTCTCTTGACATATGGGCTCTGTCCTCTTACTTGGAAAAACTTTCAAGTCCTTGTTTACAGCTCTCCCACACTGGGCTCAGAGTTACAAGGAGACTGGGGGACCTTCATCTGCTCTCTCCCTCGTGTTATCAAGGTTTTTAGGTCAAGATTTCTCCTCCTTTAAAAAAGAGTGATTCATTTTTATTTTATGCATATGTGTTTATGCCTGCATATATGTATGTGCACCACATGTGTTCTGATGCCCACGGAGGCCAGAAGAGGGAATTAGATTCCCTATAACTAGAGTTACAGACAGTTTTGAGCTGCCCAGTGTGGGCGCTGGGAACTGAGCCAGGTACTCTGTAAGAGTAGCAAGTGCTCTTAACCACTGCGCCATCTGTCCAGCCTGATTTCTCCATTTGTTATCAGCACTCGCTATTTATAAAAACCAACAGGTTTAATTATGACATTTTCCATGTACATAATGCATTTTGATCATATCAATCCTACATACCTTCTCTGGTCCCCTGCCACAGGTGCCTTTAAGGGGTCTGTATGTAGTGCAAGCACATGTGTGTGAATGAAAGATGGGCTTTTGTTGGGTTGATAGTTGACCCTTGCTGATGTTATCATTTTTCACTTCAT